ATCCCTCCTCCCTACCCCTCTGACTCTGCTTTTGATCCTTCCATACCTGATAACCTGCCCCCTATCAGAACCCGGCCCCAGGACCCCCATGCTCCCGAGCCTGAGGCACAACCAAGTCCTGCCCTCCTATCACTATACCCTCCCTTGTCTTCCAGTCCAGGGGCCAGCCCAACTCCCCTCCCTTCTCTGCCTCAAACTCCCTCTCTGCAATCTTCCCCCTCCCTTCCTCGGCATTCTGGGTCTGACACTCACTCTCTTAATTCCCCTTTAATCAAGGACCATGGACAAGACACCCCTCCCATCTCTCCCACTTCAGCTTCCTCCCAGGACTCCCCTTCGCCTTCTCTTCTGCCTACTCCCAACCCCTCTCCTGTGTCAACCCATACCCGTTCCCATACCCAGTCTCAGCCCCCTTCCCATGGCATTTTTCCCCTCAGGGAGGTGGCAGGCATGGAAGGGATTGTCAAAGTCCATGTGCCTTTCTCTCTTGGAGAACTTTCTCAACTAGAGTGTAAAATCAGTTCCTTTTCCACTAATCCTACTCACTTCATACCAGAGTTTAAATATATTACTCGCAGCTATGATCTAACCTGGCATGATCTGTTTATGATTCTCCAGTCTACCCTCACCCCTGACGAAAGATATAGGGTCTGGACAGCATCACAGGAATATGCTAATGAGCTTAATTCTACTAACTAAGCTCACCCTATTGGCAGTGAGGCAGTTCCCCTTCAGGACCCTGGGTGGGATTACCAACTGCCACCAGGAGGTCAGATAGGACCTTCCACAGGTAGAGCATCCAGGGACCACATGATCACTTGCCTCCTGACAGGTCTTCAGAGAGACTTCGCCCCCTAAGGTAGTTAACTTTGAAAAGCTTAGATTGATTACTCAGGGCTCTGCTGAAACCCCAGCTCAGTTTATGGACAGACTCACTGATGCTCTGGTCCTATATACCAAGTATGACCCAGAGTCTGCAGAGGGACAGCTTATGCTTCACCACCACTTTATCTTACAATCAGCTCCAGATATTAGAAGGAAACTTAGGCGCTTAGACAAGGGCCCTGAAACCCCCACGAGAGATCTGTTGGACACGGCATTTAAAGTATTTTATAACCGAGAGGAACAGGAGAAGGCAGACAAGCTTACCCTGTCTAAGCAAAAGTACGAGCTTATGGCTGCAGTCCTAAGGGCTCCTCCCAAGAACACTTCGAACGCCAATGGGGCCCAACAACATCCGCCAGGATCCTGCTTCAAGGGCGGAGTGACTGGACATTGGGTAAGACAATGCCCTAACCCACGGCCACCACCTGGATCCTGTCCTTCTTGTGGGCAACAAGGTCACTGGAGAGTTGATTGTCCTTCTTTGCAACGCCACGGAAGGCCACTCACCTCCCAGACCCAGCCTCATTTACAGGGTTCAGTGAATGACCTTCTAGGCCTGGCGGCTGAAGACTGACGACGTCCTGGCTTCTTGGCCCCCACTGCTTCTATGACTATCACAATGGAGGAGCCCAGGGTTTCAGCCATGGTGGCGGGTAAGATTATTAATTTCATTATTAACACTGGCGCTTTATGGTCAGTTCTCCCTTCCTACTCTGGTAAAATTTTCCCCTCACAGATCTCTGTGGTGGGGGTTGATGGGAAGCCTCACAACCCCAAATCAACAGCACCCTTAGCCTGTGTATTCTGGAAGGTGCCTTTAACTCACTCCTTCCTGGTTATGCCCACCTGCCCAACCCCCCTACTTGGCAGGGATCTCATGCAAAAGCTCTCCCTTTCTATTTCTCTCCCACTCTCCAGCATGGCCGTGAAGCAGCTTCAAAGCTTCGATGCCCCCTGCACCTTCTCTTGGGACCGCATTCTCACTTTATTGGTTAATCTCCTGAGAAAATTCTCTTATGCTAATGTCTCCACTTGCTTTCTCTGTGCCCCCCTGCAGGGCTCACTTCTCCCTCTCTCAGTTACAATGTTACTCCACAGGCCACTACTCAGTGTTCCCCGGAACTTCTAGTACAGGGGCCCATGCCTGCCCCTCCCCCTTTTCTTAACAAAACAGAGTGTTGGCTGTTCAGATGCATGGAGAGACAACCCCTGCTGCCTAGTGGACCCCTAAACGAGCCTACCCCCCACATTGACCCTGTCCAGCAGGAATTAGCAAGATGACAACGGCACCCCCTATCCTATAACACAAAAGGCTGGAATGTTAGGGTTCCAAATAGCAGCTCCCCACCTCCGCAACAGGGACCTACAGACTTTGGAGCCTGGAAAAGGGAACTTAGCTGATAAGCACCTTGACCTTTGAGGTCAAGAAGAACAAACTCTGCCTGCCTTTCCTCTGACCTCCAAAGATAAGATAAGCAGATTTCCTCATATCTTAAGAGGAAAAAAGTAAACACTTCCAGACTCTAATCCTACCTGCTTCCCCCTCCCTGATTTCTCCCCCAAACATTCCCCCCTTCCACACCCTAAAGCCCCCATATATAAAGTCCCAGCTCACAACCTGTGGGCAGCCCTGACATCTTTCCCTTCCCTGACATCCTTCCCTTCCCTTCCCTTCCCTGACACCCTTCCCTTCGAGGACATCTTTCCCTGACATCTCGTCTTTCCCTGATATCCTGTCCTTCCCTTCCCTTCCCTTCCCTGACACCCTTCCCTTCGAGGACATCTTTCCCTGACATCTCGTCTTTCCCTGATATCCTGTCCTTCCCTTCCCTTCCCTTCCCTGACACCCTTCCCTTCGAGGACATCTTTCCCTGACATCTCGTCTTTCCCTGATATCCTGTCCTTCCCTTCCCTTCCCTTCCCTGACACCCTTCCCTTCGAGGACATCTTTCCCTGACATCTCGTCTTTCCCTGATATCCTGTCCTTCCCTTCCCTTCCCTTCCCTGACACCCTTCCCTTCGAGGACATCTTTCCCTGACATCTCGTCTTTCCCTGATATCCTGTCCTTCCCTTCCCTTCCCTTCCCTGACACCCTTCCCTTCG